CCTACGGCGCTTTGCGGGTTGGCCTGGTCTCCCATGGCTCTTTGCAGGTTGACCTGGTCTCCCATGGCTCTTTGCAGGTTGACCTGGTCCTCCATGGCCTTCCCAGGTTGACCTGGTCTCCCATGGCTCTTTGCAGGTTGACCTGGTCCTCCATGACCTTCCCGGGTTGACCTGGTCTCCCATGACTCTTTGCAGGTTGACCTGGTCCCCAGTGACCTTCCCGGGTTGACTTCGTCCCCTCTTGGTTCTCCTGGATTGACGTGGTCGTGCCATGGTTCCCCTGGGCTGACCTGGTCCCCTATGGCTCTTCACGGGCTGACTTGGTCCCCTATGGCTCCCCTGGATCGTCCTGGTCCTCTATGACCTTCCTGTGTTGAGCTGGTTCCTCTCTTTTGGGGGTTGACTGGTCCCCTCTTGGCTCTCTCGGGTTGACCTAATCCCCAGCGAATTTCCCAGGTTGACCTGATCTCCCATGACCTTCCCAGGTTGACCTGATCTCCCGTGCTTCTTTACAGGTTGACCTGGTCCCCTCATGGTTCCCCCAGGTTGACGTGGTCCTGTTACCTTCTCGGGTTGACCTGGTTCCCCCCGTGGCTGTTCACAGGTTGACCTGGTGCCCCTTGGGTCTCGGGCTAACTTAGTCCCCAGTGACTTTCCTGTGTTGGTGTGGTCCCCTCCTGATTCTCGTGGGTTGACCTGGTCCCCAGTGACCTTCCCAGGTTGGCTTGGTCACCCCATGGCTTTTTGCAGGTTGACCTGTTCCCCTCTTGGTTCTTCTGGGTTGGCCTGGTTCCCCCATGGCCCTTCACAGGTTGACCTGGTCTCCCCAGCGCCGTTTCAGCTCAACCTTGTTTGGCTGTTCCCTAACAGCCTAACACGTTGTCCGCTAATGAAGAGACTCATTAAAATGAGGTGTTAATTAAGCCTCTCTTCATGGAGGCCACACTGACACCTCTCGCTTCCCTTTGCAGCTCTTCCTGGATGGCTGTTCACAGGTTGACCTGGTCCCCTACCGCCCTTTGCGGGTTGACCTGGTGCCCCTTGGGTCTCTTGGGCTAACTTCGTCCCCAGTGACTTTCCCATGTTGGTCTGGTCCCCTCCTGATTCTCGTGGGTTGACCTGGTCCCCAGTGACCTTCCCAGGTTGGCTTGGTCACCCCATGGCTTTTTGCAGGTTGACCTGTTCCCCTCTTGGTTCTTCTGGGTTGGCCTGGTTCCCCCATGGCCCTTCACAGGTTGACCTGGTCTCCCCAGCGCCGTTTCAGCTCAACCTTGTTTGGCTGTTCCCTAACAGCCTAACACGTTGTCCGCTAATGAAGAGACTCATTAAAATGAGGTGTTAATTAAGCCTCTCTTCATGGAGGCCACACTGACACCTCTCGCTTCCCTTTGCAGCTCTTCCTGGACGATGCCAAGGTGAAGAACTTCATCACCTGCTTCAAAGGTAGCATCAGCAGTGGCACCGCCAGGGTCCCTAAGCCCCTGTCTCCCAACCCACTGGCTCTTAAAAGCTGCACAACCAAAATAATCCTTAATTTGAGGCTTAAACACCGCCAACACTGGGGGTAAAATTCAGCCCCACGGCCCCAGTGCCGCTTCCCAACGGTCTCCCTCCCTCTGCTCTCCATCGGTCTGCAGCCAAATGCTGCCCCCGCTAAATCCGAATCCCTCCTGGACACTCTGTGGACAGGATGGACAGACACCCGGGGCGAAGCATATGAGGGTGCTGCCGTCGAAATCTGCATCCCCCGTGAAGCCCTCGCGCCAAGTTTGCTGCCGCCGCGAGGAAGCCACTGCTCCTCTCACATATTAATTTCATGTGCGCAATTAAGCGGCTCCGGCTCAGGCTATTAATAGCTCCCGTTTGCCCTTCGCCGCCCGCTCGCTCCTGCCAAGCCGCAAGCTCGCGCTCTCCCCCTTCTGCCGGCAGCACGAGCAGCGGCCGAGTTTCCCTTTCCCTTTGGAATTCCCATTTGCAGAGAGGCAAATCCTAGCGGAGGGTGATGGTGGAGCCAGGATTGCACCAAAAAAAGGGATTTTCTTCCTCTTCTGGCAGACGTGAAGTTCCTGGCCTTCTTCTTCAAGCAGCTGCGTCGCAACCACAGCGGGCGCTACGAGGCCGACTTCCCCTACGTGTCGCTGTGCGGGCGCGAGCACAACTACGTGCGCTGCGACGACCGGCCCGTGGTCTTCACGCAGCTGCTGCGCGGCGCCGACGGGGCCGAGCTGCTCTCCTACTGCGGTGGCGGCGAGCGCCTCGTGGAATCGCTCCCCACGTGGCTGCACCCTTCAGGGATGCGGGGCTGCCGGCACCGCATGCTTCACCCCGAAAATTGGCTTTGCGGCATTTTCCGGGGTGTGTGGGGTGGCGGTGGGGCTGGTCCCAGTCTCAGGTGGGTCGCTGTGTCCCCGTGCCCTTTGTCCCTGCATCCTGCATAGAATGATGGAATCATTGCAGTTGGAAAAGACCTTCAAGATGATCAAGTCCAAACGGGCACTCCCCTTCCTGCACCCTGTGTGGATCCAGGCGGGGAAGATGGGGATGGGGGACTCTGAGTCAGGAGATACTGAGGAGTGTCGAGGGGATCCGGATCAGGAATACCCCAGTATCCTGGGGGATTGGGACAAGGTGGGTTGGGGGGCAGTTTGGGGATGGGGAGGGCTTGGGGAAGAAGGATGAGAGCGGGTGGGATCAGGGTTGGGGGTGTTGGGGGGCTCCGAGTCCAGGGGAGGGGTTGGGGGGGTACTTGATCTGGGGGATGTTGGGGCCGGGGGGGGTCAGGA